GAAATGAAACTAACTTACATGACACAGAAATAACAGATAGAAGTCATTAAATGTTTGCCAAAACCCATAGGTCCTGTAACACCAGCCATTTTAACAAATGTGCCACACTCACAGAAGTGGTAAAAAGTAATGAACTGTGTGGATGCATACAGGTTATGTGGGAACCCCCTGATCAATTTTTCTGTAAACCTAAAACTGCTCTAAAAAACCCCCGACTTGTATTTAATGAAAAACAACTAAGACTGACTCATTACGATCACCTCTGATGATTCAAACCCAACATCTTTCATTCTACCAATTAGAATAAGCCAGTATGATGCCCAATGCATGAGACCAATGAGGTGAAACTTCCACTGGATGCCTGGTTGGACAGCTGCACTGCTTATTCTGTGACGGGTCGTGGTGGGCAGCAGTAGTGCCCAGAACTCCGGCATGCCCATACATGCAGACGAGACAGTCGCTTAGATGTATGTTTAGGGTTATCTCCAAGTCAAGAGATTCCTACAGTTCTTCTACCACAAGCCCAGTTCTTTTGACAATCGTCCCAAAGTCTGACTTGTCTTCCAATTCTCACAATATTTTCCTGAAACAGTTCTGTTTTAATGAAATAAATGTCATGGTTTTCTCCCTTCATGAAAGGATGGGGCTGAATTTTGGACACAGTAAGATAACTGACTGATGTCTGGTCAGCTGTGGGCCCCTTGGGTTTGGTCCTTTACCAGGGATGTATCCGGATGAAGAGCCCCGACTCTCCACTGAGCATCATGTAGGAATCCTGGGATGTCCTCAAAGTCTGTGAGCTCCCCCAGTGCTGTGCATCCAGTTAATTTCAAGGAACCTGAGGGATCTCCCTGTCTGGGGCAGTGGTGACCTCTGCCAACACCATGGCATCATTAAATGGACTAAACAGAACAGGGCAACCTCCTGCAGGTGGCAGAAGCATTAAGTGGGCTCAGGTAAAATTTGTAAACAAGGAGTCCGTTAGTTAGCTCCTGAACACCAAAAGAACCAAGTAGGTGCCTTGGTTGCCAAAAGGGACTACAGGTATTTCTTCAGTGTCAGGCAGGGGGCAGCCGTCTGATCATTAAAGAATTTTCAGGAACTTAACCAAGGTGTTAGGGCCTCATATTCTGTGTGGGTCAATGACCCATCTACTTAGTATGAGATCCTTGATATCCTCAGAGGAAGGTACCATTAAGTGTCATGTCATACCTGGAGCAAGGCAGGTTCGGTTCAGACCCTGCCTGCGTAGCCTGTGGGATGGCAAGGCTGATGAGGTACCCCTGGAGGTGAACACACCCTGGAGGTGGAGGCCAAATACACCCGAATACATGGTAGAGCAGGCGCTGAACCAAACAGACTTGGCTAAATGTGAGGCAGCACAATATTTACCAGTTGCTGATTGGATGGAGTCAGGAATTTCTGTAATTTGGGGTCTGGGGATAATCAGCTTGTGGAAAATCAAAGTGAGGTACCATTCATTCTTTCCATGTTTAAGAACACACCAAATAAGGCTATTGAAAGGAAAAGCACTTGATTAATCTTCCTATGGAGGTTCCTTATAATGGTTTTCATTATTTTAAAGCACTGTTTAATACACACAGATTCTATAACCTAACTTAATTGGGGAGATAATTTCAGTGGGCCCCATTTTGTCAAGCCAATTTGGAAGTACTTAGGTTTACTTTATGAATCACGTGGTCAGAGCTTCTGTGCTCGCTGTGGGGTATTAGGACAATGTGTGATATGACTATGAGGGGTTTAGGCAAGGTGGGAGTTCTGGCAGTTAAAATGAGGCATACCTATTTGGCCTCTGTTACATTTAGTGAAATCCCCTGGTAAACTTTTAATTTGAAAGCCAGTTTGATAAATTACAGGAAGTTTTGTGAACTAGTGCATTACAAGAGACATTAACATTAATTCAAAAGCTATACAGTAGAGCGCCAAGAAAGTAAAGCCAAGAAAGACCTTTTACTTATTTTGTTGTCAGTAAATTCTTCCAGTGTATTTTGGATTTCCAGCCGGGTCAGATGAGGATCTTTGGTTTCAGTGCCACTTTTCTCCTTCCCTATTGTCCCTTCCCCATTTTGCATGACAGATCATTGGATATACTTGGGGGGGAGGTGTCCTTTCTACCCTGTTCATATATATATATATTTTTTTCTCCTGAGGGCCTCAAATCAGTGTCACCAGGGAGAGGCCTCCATGACAACTACTGCTTTGTATCATTTAAGTACTCTGAGCTTAAACTGCTAGGAACTGTCCCCTTTGCGGTGCCACAGTGAGGCTATGGGTGTGTCTGCAACAGGCCAGAGGGTCAGGACCCTGTGGCAGCAGAGCAGGGCCAGCAGCAGAGGTGCTTAAGGGCCTGGGAGCCCTCTGGTATCAGGAGAGTGGCTTCAGCCTCCCAAGAACTGGCCACTTGTCCCTGTCTCTGTTCTTTTTTCTCTCTTTGAACTTAATGCTCTTTAAGAAGTGATCTTTTGGGCTCACCACTTTCAAGGGTATAAGCATCTTTGTACATCACATCACTAAGAACTCTCCCCACAATGTCAGGGTGACCCCAGCCTCAGTCACATGTTCACTCTAAACACAGGTATGTTCTGGCCAATATACAGACACTGGACACTGCAAGGTGGACCGCATTTCCATACTCCTCCCAAAGGACGAGGGATTACAACTGCCAACTCAGTCCCCTGGATAAAGAACCTGGCTGGGTGGGGTCACAGGGCAGCAGAGCCCAGAGGAGGAGGCGTCCTCAGTCCCCAGCGGCTCACAGTGCAGGAGCCTCCAGGCTTTCTAACAGCCCGTCCGGATCAGAAGCATTCAGACAAAAGGGAGGCATGAGCCTTATGTTTTCAGATGGCAAACATTAAATATGCGGCCCCTGACCACTCATTACAAGAACAAACACGGTTAAGAAAAATGTGTATTAGCCATGGCTTGTTTGTACCCAAGGAAACACTTAACAGGATGATGAAGTAGTGATCAAAACTGGTTATCTGGGGGTAGCAGCATAAGAACGCAAGAGTGGAACAGGAGATGCAGGCACGGGGTCCTCTGAAGTTAATATCCTATCTTACAATTTTTTTAACCTTCCCGCACATTATTTATTTAAAATAAGAAAAATTTACATACACTAGATTTTCATATGCTTAATCATTATCATTTTGATTCATCAACTTTTCTACACAGGAAACAACTCCAAGATTTAATCCTTTAAACGCTAACAGATAAGAAACTGGAAACCATGCAATATTTAAAAATCCCTTTCTAACTAAAAGGGCAAGAGGCATTATATTGTTTTGTCCTTCATCTTTATTTCACACTGGGACATTTTCAGGAACAAGTAGCATATTACTAAACATAAGAACTTTGTAATTAAGCATCTAAATGTACTAGGAATTTCAAGAGATATATTTAAGATTTGAAGTGTTTTCCTCATATCAGTTAAAGTAGAAAGTCAATTGTTTCTCACATCCATTAAAGTATGACTTCATTTGCCTTAGGAATAGCATAGCCTTTTAAATATCAAAGTTCTCTACACATACTAACACTGATCTAAACACGGAAAATGCACCTGACAATTTAAAACCATCTCACATCTTAAGTTCTCTTGCTTAAATGAAAAAATTTTTTTCCTTTTTCATTCCGTAATTTTCTTGCTTTATGCACACTGTGTAAGTCAGTCGTCTAACATACTAAGAGGCCAAGACCTAACAGAAACTAAAATCAAAAAGCTGCAATATTCAGTGGAGAAAGGACTCCAAGGAAAGAAATTCAAATGAGAATCAAAACAGGTAACAGCCTGCTTCCCAGCATCGCAAAGGCAAAACCACATTCATACAGTTGAATTTACTCGCAAACTGGGAGTCAATAGGCTCTCCCAGCTGAGACAGAAGCCCTGGAGTGGGCCATTCCCAGGGGCGGGTGGGGGAAGGGGACAACAGAGCAGCCGCAGGAATGAACTCTGGGAGCTGCACACACCCTCCTCTCCAGCAAGCCTGGACGTGCTCCCTCCCCCAGGCTTCCACTCAGCAGTGACGCAACTCTCAGGCTGACAGCTTGAGGTTCTGATCCGCATCAACTTCCAAATTCATCAACGCCTCGTCCAGGAGACAAAAACAACCGATTTTCAGACTTCTCATGCTCGGTGCGCACCTCCACTGTGGGTGAAAAACTCAAGCATAAATAATGTCTTAAAATTTCTAAGCCCAGGAAACCACGACTAGAAACTCAAAAAGTGCATCCCCAGCGTGCCAGGGCGCTGCACCTTCTCATATAAAAGCTCCTCCACAGTCGGGGGTGAACAGGCAGGACTCCGGCAGGGGGAGGATCTCCAGGAAGAACCAACTGCGCCCGCCAAGTACTTCCCTTCGCAGGCTCTAGGGAGCCTTTCCACAGGGTCACAGACCACGGGCTTCTCTGCTCCATACTGGAGGGACTTCGGGCCACCACTGATTATTTGGGACACAAGCCTAGCATTTGAACAATGCAGCAAAATCATGCAAACCCAGAGTTTACGGGTGTAGCTCCGAGGGGACGCGTGTTTAAACCCAAACCAGTCAACGGGAAAAAATGATGTGGGAGAAACCCGTTTATTGCTTACAGGAAGCGTGGCTCTGTCCGTCCCTCTCTAGCAGCTACTGCCCCTCACTGCGCATGCTCACCTCTCCCCAAGGGACCACCTATTGATACGGAAATGACTGAGTACAGCTTCTCTCCACTCCTTGTAAACACCTACTGATAAGGAGATGGTTAAGGCCAGAGACAGACTCTGGAAATATTGCAGTTTTACCCACAATATGGATTGGAGGCTAGAAAACTCTAAAGCACTTGAGACGAACTTCTCCCCACCCCCGAGGAATGATGCAAATGCCCTGAAGCCATACTTCTTTCCACCTCTGAACGCCTGATATGCTGATGTACTAAAGCCAGGAGAGATATTCGAGAAATGTTACGTTACCCACACACTTTTACAGTCAGTTTTCACCAGAAAATTCCGTTATCTATTCCTTTTATTAGAAAAAGCATCAAAGCTAAATGTGATTTATTCCCACCAGGATGTTTAAACAGTTGAACAGTAATGTACTAACAAAGGGCCACGTGGTGAAAAAAATCACCCAGGAAAAGTCTCCACACAGACACCTCCATCCACGGGACTTCCCATAGGATGCCTCGGTCCAGGCTAGATCTTGGGGGAGAGGAACAAGGATTTCAGGCAAAATAAATCCAGGTATTTATTCTCTGCTTTCCTCCTGTAAAATACCCAGAAACAAAAAGTAAACCTTTAAAAAGCAACCATCTAAAAAAAAAAAAAGTAGCCATCCATGGCTTCATAGGAAAAGGGATTGTTTGAAATGCACCCCGAAGTACAAATGATGCTGCTGTGTATCAGTAAGGGGAGGTTGTCTTGGGAAGGCGGGAGGGAACTGAAAATTGAGATATTTATTGCCAGCCGTAACAAGAGCTTACGCTGGGGGGACAGGGTCATGGATCCGAGACGGCTACCCAGGCGTTTGGAAAACCCAGGAGAAAACGCCGCCACCACCACCACACCCGGCGGGGAGATGAGCACAGCTCCTCCCCACGCACAAGCCCAGGAGGCCGAGTCCCTGAGCCCCTCTCCTCTCCGTGGTCACGGCACAACCCGGGAGACGCGGGGCTGGGCGCGCAGAGCAACCCAGGGAGGCTCCGGGGCAGCGCGCAGCGACGGGGCAGGACGCCTGTGGTCCACGCTGCCGAGGTCCCAGCAGCGCCCCCGGCGACTCAGACCCGGTCCCCAGAACTGCCCGCGGGGCTGCCCGGTTCCCGCCACGGCCGGGTCCCACCGGCCCCTCCGCCCGGTCCCCGCCCCGCGGGGCAGCTCGCTCACCATTGCTAGGCCTCCTCGGTCTCCCGGCGTCCTTCCTTGACTCCCACGACCAGGGCGGGTCACAGCGGAACACGGACTGAGGTGAGGAAGCTGGGAGCGTCAGGCGCTAGGACCACTGACCCCTTTGTCCGCCGGAGCAAGTCAGGCCGTCCACATGGGTGGCGGCGCCCCACCTACCTGACCAGCGGCGCTCCTGACTGGACATTTTCCGAGGCTGCGCCTGAGTGACAGCAGAGCGGCCGGCCGCGTGGCTCCGCCCCAGCAGCTTCCGGCCCCGCCCCGGAGCAGGTGCTCGCCTGCTGCATTAGCATTTCAACAGGACCTTTGTGGGTTGCCGCTGGCGCGTGGGTTCCCGCAGACCTTTCGGGACGCGTGGTCACAGGCTTGTAGTGGGAGTTCCTGATTCCGTTAACAATTGGAGCGAGTCCAGACAGGCCAGTCCCGATTGAACAACTGGGTTGAACATCTGTCCTCTGCGGGTCAAGCTCTGCGGGTCAAGAGCTTGGCGTTAAGTTCGAGGCCCCTCGTGGATCTCTGACTCCTGTTTAGAAACGCAGACGTCACCATCTGTAATAAAGAGTCTGGCGCCATTTTGATGTTTCCTTGCCGGAATCGGGCCTTTCACCCATCCCGTCTCTACCTTCCACGCGCAAGATCCTTTAGAGAATCCCAGAGTACTAGGCTCGTGGGAATCTAGAACCCCGCTGGGCTCAGGTGCTCCTCTCGGTCTAATCACATTCTGTGAGGTCAGTCCATTAAAATACCAGGTTTCATTAATTCACATCTTACACTGGACGGAGAGTTAGGTCAGTTTTACTTATGTTCCTAGAGAACTTTTAAATGTAAATGACTATAATATCCCTAAAACAAGTGAGTTCTTATTTTCACTAATAGAAGAAAACTAGTCTACCATTATGTAAATGTGTGGAGCAACTGTAAAGTCTTTCCCCCGCCCCACCCTTTCCAACTATACCTATACCTATGTATTGCTGACTAATAAAATTGTGTATTTTTAAAGATTACAACATCATTATTTGAGATACTTATACTGAAAGATGAGAGGGGATAGATGAAGGAAAAGAGCGGATATGCGAACTCAACAGTCCCAGCAGGTTTCTTGCTGAACCTGAGACGGCCCCCAGTGTCCTGGCCAGCAGAGCAAAGGAAAGAGCCTCTTAACAGGTCAAGAGGCTTTTTATTGCCAGGGTTTTTGGCGGGCTCTTTATGAGGGGAGGGGTCGGGAAAGGGGCCCTCTGGAAAATATCAGAGTGAACTAGAGGTAAAAAGTTCCTTTTTGAACTTGACTTTAGGAAGCTGTCAGAAGAAAGTTTTTAAAAGGCACTTGCTAAATAGAATCATAGGTCACTACGAAGCAGAAATAAAACAATCTCTGGAAGGACTTAAGAGCAGACTGAATGACATGCAAGAAATACTAATGAGAGTATCAACTATCAACAAATAACCAAAACTGCATTTGCGGGTGGCTAGAGTAATAGCACTGGAGGGAACAAAGATAAGTTTGTGGTGTGTTTTCTGAAATTAGACTTTCCTAGCATATGAATTTATTTAAAGTAAACAAATTTATGTATGCTATATTTTACTATTATTTAGTAGTCTTTAATTTTAACTTTTGTACACACGAAACCATTCTAAGATGCAATTCCTTAACCACGAATAGTTACAAAAGTGCAAACCATACAAAATGAAGAATTTGAAATCTCTTTCTAACTAAAAGGACATGGGATATCATAATTTGTCCTCCCCGTATCTCACACTGGGGGTGCTTTTAGGAACAAGTAGCATATTATAATGCATTAGGAATTTCAGTTGAGCCCCTTCAAGTAGGAATTTCAAACATTTACATAAGCTTCAAGTACTTTTCCTCCATAAATAAAATAGCAATTCAACTGCTTTAGGCTTTAAAAAAAAAATCCATGTTCTCTAGAAACATGCACATACAAAACCTGACCTAAAAATGAACAATGTACCTGCAAACTTAAATACATTCAGCTCCCATCTTGAGGTTCTCTTGCCTTAAAGGAACAAAACCTCTATTTGATTCCACAGCTTTCCATACATGCATCTCTCAATTGACATACAGTTTCTGAGCTCAAATGCTAAGGGAAACTTACAGCCAAAAGGCTGCTTTATTCAGTAGGCACAGGAGCCCAAAGAAAGGAAAGATTGAAATGAGCACAGATCAGCAGCCTACTTCCCAGAGGGCAGAGGGAAAACCACATTCACAAGGTTCCACATTCTAGAGTCTCCCGGTTGAGACAGAAGCTCTGGAATGGGCCCGACTTTGAGGAAGGAGATGGTGACACCTGAGCCACAGGAATCCACACTGGGACCTGTACATACCCTCCTCTCCCCCAGGCCTCATGGAAATATTATGGAAACCTCTCAGGCTTCTATTCTCACCAGGGAGGAACCTCTCAGCAGGATTCAGTGTAAAGTTCTGACCCAAATGAACCCCCAAACTCATGACCCTTGATCCAGGATACAAACCACCTGAGACTTTCTCAATATAAACAAGTAACACTGAGTGCTGGTTGCAAAACTCCAACCTTATATCTTGAAACAGGCCCAAGGGAACCACAGTTACAACCTCAGAGAGGGTGTGTCACAGTCTTGTCTCCTACCCAACCGCCATCCCACGTGCTTCCCCAGATTTCCATGGCTTCGTTCTCTGAGCCTAAAGGGCTGTCTCCTTGGTGGGTGTGAGTAGGCAGGACACCTGCAGCGGGGACACACTCCCGGAAGAACTACGGGCCCTCAGCTAAGGGCTACTTCTATTTGAAGGCTTCTTAAAGAGGGCCTTAGCTTAGGGACACTGCCCTCAGGCCTCTGCTTCCCCCTGGAGGTGCTCTGAACCACCACTGACATTTTACACAAGGCCATTGTTTGAACAATCAAGAGTAAATCAAACTCAGTGTTTCATGTGGAAAGGAAGAAAGAAAATCTAAGGTATTTTACTACCTCAACAGGAAAACCCACAAGTGTCTATCTTATTCTAAAAAAAAAAGTATGTTAATTATTGCTTCCATGGTAAGACTTTTTTATAAGCTATTAATACTTGATGCAAGTCTAAGCCCTGGGAATCCTTTTGAACTCACTCAAAATAACAGACCTCAGAATATCACTAAACACACTGAAGGGAGGAAAAAAGGAAATGGAAAATTTTGATTCTTGCAATGTCGTACTGGAATATTTTTCCTGAAATTCACCTCTTCTTCTTCTTAGTAAATAGTTGATGCCATGGTATAACCTCTACTGCATAAATAAGTTCTTATTCATTGAAAAACGGAGCGAAAAATAAAGTGAATGTCTTTTAAAGGTGACAGGCTCAGGGAGGGGGTGTGCTGATGTGAGACTGTGCTAACAGGACCCATCACCCGGGACAGTTTCCCAAGAGGAACCTCCACTCGCAGCACTTCTCACAGGACGGCTGTTCCCAGGCCAGATCCTGGGGGCTGGGGGGAGGCATGTGGATTTCACGCGGGAGAGTTTGAAGTGTTTTTTCTCTGCTTCCGTCTCTCCTAAAATATCCACAGACAAAAAATAAACCTTGTTGAAACAACCATTCACTCACTGTGGAAATACAACACTTAAAATCTGTTGGAAATGCACTCATACGAGTATTAGCTGGAAACGGCTATCAATTGGAGACGGTAAGTGGGCGTTTGGGAAGGCGGGAGAGAACTGGAAATTTAGGATTTTACTGCCGGTTCTAGGAAGAGCTAGGCTGGGGGACAGAGTCGTGGATTTGAGACCCCTAGAGACCGCACAGACCACAGCTCCTCACGCGTGCGGAATCCCGAGGCCCAGGCACGATCGTCCCTGAGGCCCTCCAGGTGGTCACCGCACAACCTGGGGAGAGGCGGGGGGCTGTGGGTGCAGAGCCGCCCAGGGAGGCTCCGGGTCTGCGCGCAGGGACAGGACAGGACGCCGAGCCCGGCTGCCGGCCCAGCCCCCACGCCGCGGGCCGGAGGGGCCCGGGGTCCGAGCGGCGCCCCCGGCGGACTCGGGTCCAGACCCCGGAGCTGTCCGCGGCGCGGCCGGGTCCTGCCACTGCTGGTTCCACTCGGTCTTGGGACGATCAGGCCTGCACGCTCACTATTGCTAGGCCTCCTGGGTCCCCCGGCGTCCTTCCTAGACTCCCATAACCAGGGCGAGTCACAGCGACAGAACCGGCTGCAGAGCCCAGGGAGCCATGAAGGCGAGCGACCCCTAGATCGCAAGCAGAGGGAGCCTTCAGCCACAGCTGCTGAGGCCACAGCTGCTGCCGTCGCCCCGCCCCCTTCGCCACCTCTGATCAGACAGTTCACGAGACCTCGCCCTTTCGTGCCTGAGTGACAGCCGGCCTGACGTCCGCTGTCCGGACAGAACGCCGGCCACATCTCTCCGCCTGGGATGTTGTTGAAACCTAGGGCTGCGAACACACGCGTGGGTCTGGATTCTTCTGTAAGATCCCCCATTTTGATCTTTGTTGAAAACTGGAGTCTGACGTGGTTTTGCCAAAACGGTGCACAGGCACAAAGACCAGGGATGCATTCAGCGGGCATTGTTCCAGAACTTCAGTCCCACTCAGAAAAAGAGCATTGGAACCAAAAACAAGACATGGTTTCGGAAGAAAAATGATTTCCGACTATTAAGAATCGCTAACTTTAGATAATTATTAGCTTTAGAAAATGTTCCTAACGTGAGAAAATGTATATCCCGCGGATAATAAGCGGGGACTTATTCTCAACGGCGGTTAAATCACTCTCTGTGGTCATGATCCGTTCTCACTCGCGGTTACACTATTCAATCCGTCTATAATGAGACTTATCAGAAAACTGAGTTTCATGGGAATAATCCGCTGATTGGTGAGTGTGATATTCCAGAGTAATGTTCATTCTGGCAATGACGGAATTCCTCTGTGACAGGCATCCTCTCCACTCAGTACGCATAGATACCGGGTCTCACTATTTTCTCTCGCAACTCCCTAAGGAAATGCTCACCTTTAACAGCATCTGAGACAAACAGCCCCACCCCAACTGCAGCAATAACCTCCCACCCCACGCCCAGGGACACAAGCATCCCTGGAGGTCTTCTGACAGATGGCTACTGAGGGGCAGAGCCAAAGAACCAACGTGATCTCAAAGTACCGGGAAAAGGAGGGTCCAGTTTTCAACCAGTACTCATCACACAAGGAAGAACATAGTATGAGTCATTCATACAATGTAGGGAGAAAAGCTCTGTGGATATTC